TAGTTTTAATGCGACCTGGGCGCGCCAAGTTTTTGTATGTCTGTTTGATTTTAAGGTCGCTCTATATTTTTAATAATATGTATTATTATATCTAAATATATTTATTTAAAATATATAGAATGCGTGGCAGAATAGTATAATTATATATATCGTGTAATATTGAAACTGTTTTTGGAATTCTGATAATTATTAATTAGAAAACATATGTTCAGTGTTTAATATGTTTAATGAAATATTATTGTTATATGAAGCATCAAATCCTTTACAGATATAATTATTAGGTCTTATTTTTTGAAACTTTGAAATATAATAATTTATATAACTGGCGCCAATTATTGACATCAAATCTTTTATATAAATGGTATACATGGTATTATTTAAGAAATATATCACTTAGATTGGATACATATTATTTGAATTAAGTTAGGCAATCTCATGATATCATTATTTTTTAAAAAGAATTAGAATTACTGTTATTTGAGTTAGAATAAGAACGCTTTAATAAATAAATGAATAATTAATATAAATAATATAATAATTAAATTAATTTAGACAATTATTTATTATTATATTAATGTAATAATGTACGTAATAAATAAATAATTATTAAATTATCTAGATTTTTTTAACTGTCGAACAACAGTATTGCTGTATAATAAAGATATTGATAATAATACTGATGTGCTAAGAGCGCAATATAATATTATATATAATAAATATGTCGCAGTATAATATTATAATATGTATTGTGTTTATATACTGTGGTTTTGAGAGCTTCAATTTTGCATAATTTTTCTAGATTAGCTAAATAAGCTAATTAAATGAGTTAATATTCTTAATAATATTGATCATGCAAGATTTGTGAAAATATTGATGCATATCATCAGTATTACTAATACAATATTATTGATTAATCTTACTAATCATAAAGTCTATACAAGTGTGTTATCAGTATTTTTTTATAAATTTAAAAAATTGCATTTCATTGTTACAGCGACCTGAATTGTGTCCTGAAAAGTGGAACGGTGAATCTAACTATCACGTACATGAAAGCCTTTCTAAAGAGAAACGGCAATACACAGATTATTCTAAGCAGAATTCGCATAGAAGCATACAGTCGTTTAGTATGCTTCAGTGTGATAACTGTTGTGATAACAGTTCGTGATAACAGTTCACTGTGGGTGATAACAGTTAATAAGAACGTATTGAGAAATGGATAGAAATATTATACGCGATGTTTTTGCTTTTTTTTCTGCATATACCATAATATTAGGATTACTGATCAATTTCATGGAATCTTTTTTGCCTGCATCGATATCGTGCACTTATCTTTATGGCAAATTTGTTACAAAAATGCCTCATCCAATAGCAAAAAAGTTTGAAGTACCCAAAAGGTAAATTAAAAGACTACAATTTTATCAGAATGACATATAAGAAAATTTATTATAATTTAATATTATAAT